ATACAAAATAATATTTTTAATTATTTTGTATAATGCACAATGAAAGCATGAAATGTAGATATGCAGAAAACAAGCCAAAAAAATTAATAAAGGAGAAAGATGAAACATATGGGAATTATAGAAAAATTATAATGAATGAAAAATAAATGTGTTAATCTATTTTCTGAACACTAACATAGAAAAACCGATTTGCTTTGTAAGATTAGTGAGCTGATAACATACACTGATTTATGAAGACATGGAATTAAATTTGATTCTTTAATAAATATAAGATAAAATATGTACAAATTAAAAAATATTAAGATACTAGAATAAAATTTATAGGTTAAATCTACTTATAATCATTGCATGACAATGGTAAGTACATACGGAAAGATGTATGAAACATTTGGCAGCACCAGGATGTAACATCAAAATGTAGTTTAGGATGGAAAAGGAAGATTTAATCATAAAATTAACATCCATAGAAAAATTTAAGTCTTTATTGATATCATGAGGAATATACATCGGGAATTTCCTGCAGAAAAATAAACTAAATGTTCATAATTGAGAACTTCTTACATATAAATGCATAAATTTAGCATATATTCACAAATTCATGCATAGCATGATTTAAGCAATATATTTCAACATATTAAAAGTACGAGAACCAAAAAAAGTACACCAACAAATATTTAACATAAAAGAATGTATGAAATAGTTTACTTATTGACAAAGCTATCATCAGAAAAGAAATATTTTATAAATGTGAAACACTGAAACATGTATATAAAAGCAAAATTATGCCAGTTATTTTATGGGTAAAAGTCTCAGCACATGAAGCTCAGACATCTGAAGATATTTATTTATAATGCATGACATTCCTTCAAAAATGTAATAACCAAGATAAAGAGAAGCATGTGATTCTGCAACATTGAATTAGGTCAACATTCAAGAAGTACAATATCCAACATACAGATACTTCACAGCAAGCATGTTACAGACTTTGCGACTATTTTTTTTTTAACATTAAATACTACTTATATCAATGAAAGGAATAAAGACAAGACTTCACTGACATCATAAATATATAACAATAATAAAGTCATGAGCAAAGAGTTCTTAAATACAAAAAGCATACATATACATCCAAAAGCTGAGACTACCATTTTTTTATTTATTTTTATTATTATTATTATTTTTACATTATCATATGTAAAATTCAATTTCAGCCATGCTTCACCTTAAACATACTCCTAAAATACAAATTTCTTATAGTTTAAAAAAGAGTAGTATAACTTTAGACAAATAAGTAGTATTAAAGAATAAGGAAATGAAATAATATGTATAAAGTGCCAAATAACTCATATGTTCAATGTCTAAATCACAGTAAGTTATATGAATACAAAAGTAATTGAGCAAATTTACTATCGGTAAAGAATACTGTATTTTAGAATCCTTTAATATGAAATATCCAAAGCGTCAAAATGTGAGAATCAAGTTCAAAATAACATAAGCTGTAACTCACTAACTGAGCAAAACTACATAAAATTTTGACACATGCATTTACATTCTTCAAAGCATAATTTTAAATTATACAGCCATGATATTGAAATACTTCAGTAAAAGTAAATACTAACTATTATTTAAATATCTACAGCTTGTTTGAATAAAGGGAACTTTCATCACTTGAGGAAGGCTTTGTGCAAATTAACATCAGGCTCAATTATTCAAAATAGTATAACACAAAAAGAGCTGCTGCATGTAAAGGCTTAAAAATAAGAAAAATACCAGAGAGCTATAAAATATTCTAATAAATTACAAACTTTTAAACAAAGAAATACTGGATAATGACTGAAAGTTGCAGCATAGGCAGGCCTATATACAAAAATTTTGGATAATGCTCCTGTATTAGGAATGTTTAAAGTAATTTACAAAAATCCTTATTATGTTCTACTCAGTATAATGACTATGTTGTATACATACATATATATATATATATATATATATATATATATATCAATATATATCAATAGTCAGGTTACCACAGAGGAGCTCAAATATTCACCATATGAAAAATCAAAGTTAAAGGAAACTGAGACTTTAGAATGAAAACAGAATATATATATATATATACCACTTAAATGCTAAATCATTTATTTGTACACCTAGATAACTATTTATACCCTTTAATTTTCCTGATTTTATATAACTACAGTTTGATGAGGGATAAAGCATAACTAAATTTGACCTGGAATTTATTTCACAACATCTTCCAGAAATGTTTTCCTTCACAACAATGAACACAAATTCAAATTATCAACGAGTTTCTCTTCTTTTAGAGCTGTAATTAAAAATCGCTATGGTAAAGCATCAACTGCATTAGAATTCAAAATAAAGATTAAAATATCAAAATTAAAGAAATGAATGGATCAGATGATGGAAGTATTAAATCACTAAATATGATTATTATTTAGAAATGAGAGAGTTAAATTTAACAGCTTAATGAATGGATAAAACACAAAATTATTGAATTACTATGACTAAAAGTTCAATTTAAGAAATTTACAAAATCTGCAATAATGCCATACTATAGGTATCGTGGAAATTTTTTTAACACATAATGCAATTTCACACAGCATATTCTCTAAATTTATATGGCACAGATAAACCTTGTGATAAAGCATAAAACCATTATGAGCTTCATACTTTAGAATTTTTTTTTATCAATCTTAATCACATAGCACAAAATCTATTTTATGGAATAAGTAATTTTTTTCTTTTTTTAAATAATGAAGACAAAATCCAGTAAATAAACTATGAAACTACAATAATAGAAGAACTAAACTGCAAAATAATAATTTTAAAAAATATTTCTCAAAATCAAGCAGTATTTCTAGTAAAGATATCAAACAAAGGTAAAACTATTTCTAAATGTACTAACTAACAGTGCATTGAACAAAGACTTAAATCTGAGGAAGCATATTTACCAGTCTAAAAGCAAATTTTTATAATTTACAAAATGAATATAAAGCTCATTCTAAAAATTAAAATACGAATTGCTATTTTTTAAAAGTACGAAATTTATAATGCACGAATATAGAGGCCAAGGAATTTTTTTGAATATGGGGACAGGAGAAAAGTTTTTCCTTTGCTTAGTAAAATTATGAGTGGGAAAACTACTTGATAACAAATTTTAAAGCAGACAAGGGGGAACTCTTTAAAATAACATATTTTATTCAATGAAGAAATTATTAGGCCATATACTCTAAAAATTTACTGCATACAAATTATATGTACATTAATTACAAAATAAAGATATTCAACAGGAAAAAGTTATACATGCATGTACAGATATTAAGAAACAAATATTAAAAAAAAAGTTTGATATCTAATAAAACAGGATTTTACTGCAAATCTATTGTTAAATTTGAATTACTCTATAAAAAATGTCATTTGATTTGTATATACTGCATGCACTTGGCAAATTTTGATACTGTATAAAGAGGCTTGTTAATCTTTGGAAGTTTCCTACAGAGTTTAAAAAACAAAAAAAAAAAAAAAAAAAAAAAAAAAAAAAAAAAAAAACCCATTGGAAGCCTGATTTTTAAAAAGTGCACTCCCATTCTTAAGATGGCATACTCTCTAGCTTCATAGAACATAATGCTTTCACCCAACATATGCTAAGACCATTTCTTTCCATGAGAAAATAAAAGCAGCTCATAATTTTTTAAATAGCGATTTGAATAAAAGAAGCTCAGCTCAAGCATCTTCTTTTACTGAAATTAATTCCCCATAAGGATGAATCTGGCAAATTAAATGGCTATGGTTTTCCCAGCCTTATTTTAAAGTACCCATAACAACAGCAAAGGAACTTCTAGAAAATTTACTATGAGAGTTTTAATCTCTCAAGTTAAAGTAATAATTTTTATTCGAATTGATTATCTGATAAAAATATATAGTATAACCAATAGTATAATATTTTTTTCATTTCATTTTTTGCCTTCCTAAATTCCCATGCTGAGATTTGAGAACTATTCGACACACATTCAATTTTACACATTAAAAAATGTTACACATGTAATATAAGAGACTTTATATGAGGAAATGGGATGTTAATCTTAGCTTTTTTACCAAGAGATTATAAACCATGAGTCTGAAAATTATTATAATGCAACTAGAAAATACATTTTAAAACTATCAAGCCTAAATATACAAAACTTATTTAAAAATTATCTTAAGCTTAAATATAAAGAATAATTATCCCAACTTAATATATTTCAGATGTTAAATATAATCTGGACTGATAAAACAACGGGCAAATGTTATGAGTTCTTGAACTAATTTATATTTTTTATAAGGAAACATACCACACAATGTTTTTTAAGCAATTTTTAAATAAAAAATATTAATTAATATAATAAATATGGAAAATCGCAGCATCTTCTCCAAAAAAAAGCACCACAAAATAATTTGAATGAGAAATGAATTTTAATGAGAAATTAATAATACATACAAAAATTATAAATGCTTCATAATTTAATTCACAAACAACTTCATAACTACAGAATTAAAAATAGATTTTTATTTTAATTCCACTTTAAGAGTATAATTTTAAAAATGTACTTTAAATTTCCCCTTCTTATAATGAGGTATTTTTGTCATATATTTGATGTTTCTTTTTGTTGAAGTACATAATATTTATACTTTTTGAGGATGAAAATGATTTACAATTTTTCACTATACCTACCTACCTTAACCACTTGCGCTACAATTTAACTTCATGGTTGTGGTGCCGTGCGCTACAATATAACAAGCGGTAAAGTGTCTGTCTCATTTGCGCTACTCCCCGTCTGCGAGTGCAATCCAGAGCTGTAACTCAAGAAATAAACAATCTCGTTGTTAGGCCACGTGTGCACCACCTTATTTTCATTTTTGTGATAAATGCCTATCGACGTGGTGTTCACGTCGCTCGCGGTTTGAGACAAAAGCATCTCGACGCACGTGGCATGCCTTTTTAGCACAAGTGGTTAAGTAACAAACTAAAACAATAAAATTTTGCTTTTACGAACTTTTTTATGCTTTTACAGAAATGCTAACTTCGATACATTTTTCAGAATATTTAACATTTCAAATGATAAAATAATGACTAGTGTTTATGCATTTGTACACATGCTGTTTCATTAACAAAATGAGACTATTGTATTTGCTTTGAATACAATAGTCTCATTTTGTGAAATAAAAGCAAAACATTACACAACAAAGCAATTTTTAAAATTTTCAGTCCATTTTCTTCCACAAATTCTTCAATCTAAAACCACTAACTAATCAAACCAACTTCATGCCCATTTTAAATGGAAACTGATACACATGTATGTCAAAATAAGATTAATTTCAACCACATAACTTGGTTCTCCTTTGTACATAACAATATTAATATTATTTATCACATATTTGCTGCTTAGATGAGAACAGTCTCGCATGAGGTCATGGCAAACATATACTGTCATTTTTATATATATTCGAAAATTGATTTCAATAGCATAATTTTTCTCCATCATAAAAATACAAGAATGTATATATCGCACATTTGCAGCTTAAAAGAGAACAAAGTTATTTATACATGGTTGTGGTAAGCATATATTGTAATTTTTAGAAATAGATATACTCCATATTCTCACCAATACATTTAAATATTCTACATCACATTCAGTACAAATTCTCATGACACCGAGCAAAATTTGAAATGATAAAAGTTGTAAGCTTTAATTTATATATCATGTTACTTAAACATAATGAATTAGCTTTGACTAACCTAATTCATTTGTGTAGTTTCTAGTTCTTCTGTTTGCCTTCATGAGAATGCAAATTAGACTGAGTTTAAATATCTAGGGAATACATAATTTAGAATGAAAGCTTCAAGAATACACCACAAAAGTTGTTTATTTCATGAGTCATTCTGAGCTTTTAAGCTACATCCTGAGAATACTGAGCTAGTTTTGGTGAGTAATTTGTGTTTGCTAGCCTTTAGATCTTGAAATTACGGAGAACTAAAGCCAGGTTGAATAGACCATTAAGGTAATTATTAATGCCATACATATTTAAGCATTTGCATTTCTAAGACTACCAGAAGCAATGAAAAAATTTTATTAACACGCGCGCTAAAATTACGAACACGAGAAGGCATGCTGGGTATGTCATACCCGAAAGCAATTAACACATTTTCAATTACATTAATAATATAAATATGAGTATAAATGTGGATTAACATAAAAAAATGAACTTTAGAATATTTTAAAGAATATAATAAATCAAGTACTGATATTACATTTCTCGCACAGAAACCGTGTCTTTCTGTCCTTGTTTTAGGGACCCAGCACATCTTCTGTAAATGTTTACCTGTTATTACTTATTGTTAAATAAATGCTTATCTGACTAAATTTTACTTTATTTGAATTCTTGTATGAAAAATGAAAGGATCACATTAAATTCAGATTATTGCCCCCCTAAATATCTGTATGAAAAATTTCAGTGTTGTGCTATTCGGGCTGATGCAGCAAATTAATTTTTTATTTAGTATAATTAAGTGAAATTTATATAAAATCAAAAATTGAAACCAACTGGCAATCTTTAACAGAACAACATGTGTTAGCAGCAATTTATTGATTTTTTACACAGCGTATCAAATTAGAAATAAGTGCTGAAAAAAGTAAATACATTTAAAAATTATAAATTTATGCATTTTATTTACGAGATATGTTTCTATATAATCAAATATACTTTATAATGGAGATTAACACCACTATTCAAATATAAGTTTGATTCCATTTTCAAATGAGATCAAATTTAAATTAACTGCAGTTTTAGAATAGTAGGTAATTCAGTTCGAAATATAGGTTCTCTAATTCATAATCAGCATGCATGAAAACGGGAAAACATTTTGTTCATTTTGATATATGATGGTATAATGTATAAGCACATTACAAAAACCAGACACTGGCTAAAGCACATGGAAAAGAATAATGAACTCACGTCAGGAGGGGTTTAATACCCTAAAGTTAAATAAAAGACTATTATTTCAAGTCAGACACTAAATATCTCTCATGCAGATAGTGATATATTATTTTAAGATTCTTAACAAAAGAACTGGAAGTAAAGATGTAACTGTCAGTTCTCACATGAATAAAATTAAATCCAATGGAAAAGTCTAACCATCTTAGAGATCACAATTCCTATTACAAATGTCTTAACTCACAAGATGGAACATGCAGCCAATTTATATCAAATTTAAAATTGTAAATTTCATATGAAAGTATGATGCATAAGATGCATCTCTTAAAAAAATAGATACACATTTACTTGTTACAACTAGCAAAGCAATCACAGATTTCTCACACTGCACTAAACTGTACAAGCTATGCAATGAATATATAAAAAAACTTCCATTTTTGTGATTTTATAGCTTCATTTAATATCTCTCGGGGACAATTGCTTTCATTATAGTCTATGTTAAATGTAGTTCAGATAATCATCTTCAGTCATGAAATGATATGACAAATGTCACATTATCAGTGATTAAAAAAAATTCTAAATTATTCCTGCAGCGAGCAGTGAAATTAAATTACAATTTAAACAGCCCCTTTATTACCATGCAATTATAGAGGGTTATGAATTGGAAAACTACTTTCTAAACCTGAAAAGGTGGTAAATATAATGATTGCATGGAGGATAACTTACAAGTCAAAATTGACATTTTATTAAAGTCTCACTATACGTAGAGCAGACTATTAATATGATACACAAACGAAGCAAATGCAACCTCAAAATTTGCAAACAATTTTTACAATAATGGAACATTTAAGGAAACTACATAACCCTCCATAAAAGGCTAACAGATAATCAAGTTCAAAAAGAGGCCATGAAACTTTTTTAAAAAAATTAACTGTCAATAGAAATTTTGCCCTCACATCAACAACTCTTCTTTCATTCTGGAGCAGCTTTGTATAAGTATGGTGTACTGCTGGTAGAGTTTAAAAGGTAATGAAGAGAAAGTAAAGAATTACCAATTAATAAGAAGCTAGCTGACACTGAGAACTCACATGCAGGAATACGACTTAATTATGTTTTATAATCTCATGACTACACAGTAAATAATAAATGTGTGTGGTACTCCACCTGGGAGTTGCATTTTTTTAAACAAGAGTAACCTAGTACAAAACACATTTCTTCAAAATGTTACAGTAAACTACTGCTTTTAATAATAATACAATTAAATGGCATTTTAAATACATATTCAAACTCCAGTTTTGGCTCATTCTTAGACATTAGCTTAATTAAAAAGGGTGTTTCACAATATATAACAAACAAGATCAAAGATCATGACTAACAAGCAATTTTTTCCCCTGTAATCTTAAACATGCTCCATAGACATGACACTAAAAAGTTTTTTTACAATCTAAGTCATATTTTACAACAGATGTAAAATTTATCAATAGAAATTCCAATTTAAACTTTTGTGTGTGAGTGATATATATACATGAGTTTGTATATATATATAATAGCATCTGTTATGATAAAAATAAACATTCTCAAAAACTTCTTGCCATACATCATACAAAATCAACACAGAACATTCATTGGCTACCTAATGGGAGCAAATATACAGCACCAGATCAGGGGTCATGGTTTCATTAAATTTAAGACATGGAACTGCATGGTATGCGAGGTGATCCCATTTGTGTTAGAACTCTATCTAACCACTGCAATGGACCATTCAGATGTAATTCAATCCAACATGGTGTAGAAGTAACTGTCTGCCGGCGATATTCAGCACCCCAACCTTTCACAAAGCTCATCCTTATTGTGCACATTCTAGTCAACTGATAAACTGCTTCAAATCCTTGACTGACAGACTGAGCCAGCAGTGCAGCAAATTCTTGATTGTTAAAAATCTTTAAATTACACCCTAAGAAAAGAGCAATGTGCATAAATGTACATTACAAAAATAATAATAAACTGGTAAATTGATAAAATGCTCTTTGAAACCGCTAGTGCACTTAAAAAATATCACAGGGCAGTCTAACAAATTAATAGAAAATTATTCTGCTCCTGACTACAAAATTCAGTTGAAATTTGTGCTACATGACAGTTAAATTTCAACCTGTGTTAAAAAAAAAAAAAAAAAAAAAAACTTTACCCTTTTTCCATAAAATAAAATAATAAATTGCAACATATTTCCAATAATAAAAAGCAAAATGTAAAATTTAAATTTCAGGTACCAGGTACAATACAAGTTTTTAAAACCTCATACTGTCCAAACATTTTTTTGATTCAAATAATGAAAATTTACAGTACATTTCCTTAGCATAACTGGAAAATGTAATTATTTTGCATAACAGCTTTTCATACACAGTGAAATTTCAATTTAATTAAGTATGTATTGGATCATTGCAAATGAACTGGTCATTGGACAATGTCAGGTTTCTACTAATTGCAAAAGAATGTAAGCACTGGGTTTTAAACAAATTTTTTGTCAGGTGACAGTGTCAAACTTGTGTGATGTGACTGCAGTATTTGTTTCATTCAATATTAAATACTATTCATATAAAATCAATAATGAAATACAGTCAATTAAGACTGTTATAACTTTATGAAATTAAACAAATTCCTGCAGCAGTGACAGTAAGAAACGCAAAGCACTCGATGGAGCAACAACTAACAACAGATCTACTTGTTGCTGGTTTGTAAAATTTCATTAAAGAGATTTAAATTCAGGCTACAAAATAAACCCTGTGGTCACCATCTGTCCTCCTACTATATGGAAGTATACGACAAATCATTCAGACATTAAATGAACAATTTTCAGCTTTCATGGCACTTGGCAGTAACAGGAAAGTAAAGGAAGCTCACAAATTCACTTAGAAAACAAAGCACACATATAGAAGTGGACTCTGCTCTCTTAAAAAGTAAAGAAGATATTCTGCAACTAACTGTGACTGTGGATGAGAAATGAATATTCTGCAAGAATCATCCCCATTCGTTGCAGGGGTTGGGGTTGGGAGTGATATATATTCCAGGAAAGACTCATAATAGCATTAAAACTCTCTCATTTACTTAATTTTTTAGGGAAGGAAGGGAATTTTTATGAAATTCTACAGCAATGCAGTTGGTTGAATGCCAGATACTGAGCATTTAATATACCTCAAAAGTATTCCCTATTATTTACCAAAGTAAGCTACTCCTTGTATTGACATTGTTTTCTTTTGTATGTATGTATATATGTGTGTGTGTGTATTTAAAAATGTAATAGTTTTGTATTTAATAAATACTGATTAAATAATTTCTAAGGCAAGATTTGAGTAGTTATTTACAAGCAAGCCAAATTTAATGGAAAATTTAAAAAGGAAAAATGTAAACAAGATGCAGGATGAAATGAACAGTAATATGTGAAATTCTTTAATTAGCTCAGTCCTTGGTCTCAAGGTATGCATTGTATATAACACATTCTGCTGTATACAGAGTGATCCTAAAACATCTGGCAAAAAATATACAGGCAAATAGAGGAAATTGAAATAGGCAGATGCTGTAAAGAAATGTGTACACTGACACAGAATGTAATAAAGGAACATATGAACAATGAGCAAATAAGGAAGATAGGTAAAGTCAAAAGATAAAAGTTTTTATAACAGGTGCATGAAAGATCAAACACTAACGTTAATAACATTTACAGTGGCAGCACAAGGATTGATATGCATTAGAAAAGTTCTAAGGCATTTTGTTCTCATTTCCAGTAGCAATTGACAGTCTAACCACTACCGTATTTGACGGCATATAAGATGCACTTTTTTTCCCTAAATTTGGTCTCAAAAAAGTTACCTGCGTCTTATACGTGAAGGTAATTGCATTCAATAATTGTTTATTTGGCTTTTACAAAACGTGAGAACTAAAAGAAAACCACGCTATTGAAACATTTTTTCCTTGTGTGTGGCCGTCTAAATAAGGGTGCGTCTTATATGCTGCCAAATATGGTAAATCTTCTTCTGGGATTCCATGGGAATTTCATAGATCATGTTCTTAATCCCTTCCACACACAGGAAAAAAAATCCATGACTATCATATCTGCTGATTCACCACATCATTCCCAGGCTGCGAAATCCAGTAAGGGTTATAAGTCGCATCAAAGTAATTTCTAATCATGGAGGTAGGAGAGGCCCGTACTGGTTTTTTATATACACTACCTCGAAGGCTGCTCATTAATGCTCCTCACAAACCGTTGTGTGTTGTCCGCTTTGGCGGCAATTCCAAGATGGATTTTATGTTTACACTACCTCGAAGCAGTGATGTACCCCTCTTGGTGACCAAACATTCAGAGTGTTGCCATTAAGATTAACAGGTTTCAACATTATCGAAGGTAAACATTCTGTAATTACGTCGTATATATAAGTATAAATGCCTATATTTTCTTTTCCTACAATATTTCAAGATTCCGAAGTATGTGCAAGAATGCTTTTTTAAACAATATTTCATTCTGAATGGAATTAAATGCTATACTTTTCCCAGAATGGTTTGCTCAAAAGAGTTTTGATTTGAATGAAATATTTTAGGTAATTTTATTTTATTTGGTTAATGATTATAAAATCAAAGTTTATTGTATTATTAATATTAAAATTACGCATTATTTGTTTTCTATTTATGGAGTTTCTTTCTGAAATACAAGATGGTTTTCAGCTTCTGAGGCATCTTAATTACAGTCACTCTATAATTAATGCTCTATTCGGTTCATTTGAAATTAGAGCACCTTTAATTTTAATACCAAAATAAGTAAAATATTGCTGCTGATTTCTGATTTGCACGCACTTCTAAAAGTATTTCCGAAAGGTGTTTTTTTTAAAGCGATTTTTTTTACATTTTTTAAATATTAATCAAACCTCATAACTGAATTATAAATTGTAAGGAAACAATTCTTTTAATACTTATAAAATGTTTTTTGCACCCTTGATTTCAGCAATACTCATTTAAAAAAATCTGCTTTACTACTTCCTCAAGTATACATCTCCTAGATTGTGCTTCGCAGCACCACCTTTTAATAGATTGTTTTCCAGTATGAAATATTCTTACTTAAATAGTTTTATAAATATATTTGTCAACAGAATTTCAATTTATGTTTACAATCAAATGTTAAGGTCTTTATATATTTAAATAATATTTATAAACATTATAAATTTAGATACATTTAAAAACTAGATTTCTTCACAGTAACACTGACAGTAGTTTATTAGTGAATTAATCCTCCATTTCGAAACACATTTATAAATAATTTAATAAATATTTGCATATTTTGTTAAAGGCAAATGCATGCTTTTTTAAAATGATATGCATAAATACCTATACATACTTAATATTTTTAAATTTTTTGCTTGTGCAAATCTTTAATCTCTGTGCATGCATTATATTTTTTGCAGAAAATAAGTTAAGTAATTTAGCATATATCAGAATTTTTACATAAATATATATAAATTGAATGAAAATTACATGCATTATTTTTAATATGCACTCAGAGGTCAGTTTTCTTTCTAAAGTCCTCCACAAAAGCTTCTCTCCCGTTAAGTAGATTGCCTTTGCATGCTTTTGCCTATTTAAAAAACTTAACCTGACCTATTTACCTAATTACAAATATTTTAACATGCATAATTTTATATTTACATTTAGACATCAAGTTTCAAACTTTTGACTTAAAATACATTTCTTGTATTCATTCATTATCAAACTCAAATCTTTTAGTAAATATATTTTGGCAGAGCATTCAATAATTTTCTTAGCACTTTTACCCAGTCTAATAATTCTCTGATAATATAATAAATAACTATTCATTTTACAAACATTAACCTCATTATTATCCAATCAAAATATTGCCAGCCTTATTTTGTGTACTGATATTACTTTACTTAATTCAAAAGATAAAATATGCAAAATATATTGATATACCTATTAATAACATTGATGATTATTTTCCCATGTCTTGAAACTGTTTTTAAAGCAGCAGACTACTATTCAATTTCCTTTCCTTTTATTCAACAATATATGTATTGAACAATAAAAGATTTTTCATTCACAATTTTGTGTTACACTTAATCATAAATTAAACAGGCTGCTACATACAATTTAAAAAAAAGAGAGAGATAACTTTATTTTGATAATTTTTCCTAACAACTGTTAATAACTGACCATGAAATATGAAAAGTTTTGTATACAATTGACCTATGAATACTGAATTATTTACAGTATTTTTGCAAATATATTACAGAATTTTTTAAACAAATTCATTATCTAAAATGCAACTAAACTATACAAACTGCTATTATCCCATCCAACCAGGACTTAAGAGAGAAGAGCTAGCTCATACAGCTTTTCCCCCTGAAACTGGCAGTGGGGAGTGATGACGTAGCCATGATGACACTGAGCGCGGAGATGCAACTGACAACATAGAAATTAGCGTTTTAAATCTGAAGAACCAGCGTTTAAAATGAGCTGCATGTGAAAGATAGCTATAATTTAGAAGAGACAATGTTGCTGCAGTATGCATTTTACACTGAACATTAAAAAATTTAATAGTACTTACTCAATTTTAAAGTAACAGATAAAATGTGCTACTCTTAGCATAAAGTCCTTTTTTCTTTAATTTGCAGGGATTTTTTTTCTTTAAATGCCTGTTTATTTCTAATCATTTCTTTATCTGCATGTTAACTAAGAGAACTGTACTACTGCTTCTAAGATAATTATAATAACAGCTATTTAAAATTAATCAAAAAAGCAACCTTAAACTGGCATAGTTTTCAAAATTTCTGCTAATCTAAGTTTGAGTTTCAGCTTAATTGTAAATTTTACATTGGCATATTTTTCTCCCGATTCAATATAATAACATATATTTTTAAAAATAATTTTGTAACTTAGGCTTACATCAATATT